ATGTTTTATATATTAGCAGTATACTAAGAGCTCTTTATATTTTATGTTTTATATATTAGCAGCATACTAAGAGCTCTTTATATTTTATATATTAGCAGTATACTAAGAGGCTCTTTATATTTTATATATTAGCAGTATACTAAGGGCTCTTTATATTTTATATATTAGCAGTATACTAAGGGCTCTTTATATTTTATATATTAGCAGCATACTAAGGGCTCTTTATATTTTATATATTAGCAGTATACTAAGGGCTCTTTATATTTTATATATTAGCAGTATACTAAGGGCTCTTTATATTTTATATATTAGCAGTATACTAAGGGCTCTTTATATTTTATATATTAGCAGTATACTAAGGGCTCTTTATATTTTATATATTAGCAGTATACTAAGGGCTCTCAATACTTTAAATATTAGCAGTATACTAAGGGCTCTTTATATGTTATATATTAGCAGTATACTAAGGGCTCTCAATACTTTAAATATTAGCAGTATACTGAGGGCTCTTTATATTTTATATATTACCAGTATACTAAGGGCTCTCAATACTTTAAATATTAGCAGTATACTGAGGGCTCTTTATATTTTATATATTACCAGTATACTAAGGGCTCTCAATACACTAAATATTAGCAGTATACTAAGGGCTCTCAATACTTTAAATATTAGCAGTATACTAAGGGCTCTTTATATTTAAAATATTAACAGAATACTAAGGGCTCTTTATATTTAAAATATTAGCAGTATACTAAGAGCTCTCAATACTTTAAATATTAGCAGTATACTAAGGGCTCTTTATATTTTAAATATTAGCAGTATACTGAGGGCTCTTTATATTTTAAATATTAGCAGTATACTAAGGGCTCTCAATACTTTAGATATTAGCAGTATACAGAGGGCTCTTTATATTGTAAATATTAGCAGTATACTAAGGGCTCTCAATACTTTAAATATCAGCAGTATACTAAGGGCTCTTTATATTTTAAATATTAGCAGTATACTAAGGGCTCTTTATATTAAGGGCTTTCAATACTTTAGATATTAGCAGTATACTAAGGGCTCTTTATATTTTAAATATTAGCTGTACACTTAGGGCTCTCAATACTTTAAATATTAGCAGTATACTGAGGGCTCTTTATATTTTATATATTACCAGTATACTAAGGGCTCTCAATACTTTAAATATTAGCAGTATACTAAGGGCTCTTTATATTTTATATATTACCAGTATACTAAGGGCTTTCAATACTTTAGATATTAGCAGTATACTAAGGGCTCTTTATATTTTAAATATTAGCTGTACACTTAGGGCTCTCAATACTTTAAATATTAGCAGTATACTAAGGGCTCTTTATATTTTATATATTACCAGTATACTAAGGGCTTTCAATACTTTAGATATTAGCAGTATACTAAGGGCTCTTTATACTTTAAATATTAGCAGTATACTAAGGGCTCTCAATACTTTAAATATTAGCAGTATACTGAGGACTCTTTATATTTTAAATATTAGTAGTATACTAAGGGCTCTCAATACTTTAAATATCAGCAGTATACTAAGGGCTCTTTATATTTTAAATATTAGCAGTATACTAAGGGCTCTTTATATTAAGGGCTTTCAATACTTTAGATATTAGCAGTATACTAAGGGCTCTTTATATTTTAAATATTAGCTGTACACTTAGGGCTCTCAATACTTTAAATATTAGCAGTATACTGAGGGCGCTTTATATTTTATATATTACCAGTATACTAAGGGCTCTCAATACTTTAAATATTAGCAGTATACTGAGGGCTCTTTATATTTTATATATTAGCAGTATACTAAGGGCTCTCAATACTTTAAATATTAGCAGTATACTAAGGGCTCTCAATACTTTAAATATTAGCAGTATACTAAGGGCTCTCAATACTGTAAATACTAGCAGTATACTAAGGGCTCTTTATACTTTAAATATTAGCAGTATACTAAGGGCTCTCAATACTTTAAATATCAGCAGTATACTAAGGGCTCTTTATAATTTAAATATTAGCAGTATACTAAGGGCTCTTTATATTAAGGGCTTTCAATACTTTAGATATTAGCAGTATCCTAAGGGCTCTTTATATTTTAAAAATTAGCTGTACACTTAGGGCTCTCAATACTTTAAATATTAGCAGTATACTGAGGGCTCTTTATATTTTATATATTACCAGTAAACTACGGGCTCTCAATACTTTAAATATCAGCAGTATACTAAGGGCTCTTTATATTTTAAATATTAGCAGTATACTAAGGGCTCTTTATATTTTAAAAATTAGCTGTACACTTAGGGCTCTCAATACTTTAAATATTAGCAGTATACTGAGGGCGCTTTATATTTTATATATTACCAGTATACTAAGG